AGCATCTAAGACCTTAAAAATAAGGCATTAATGTGCGTGCATTTGTACAAACATGTAAGTATGTACTTATGATATGATATGCGTGTGTATCGAGGATGTGAAGATCTGAATCCTCATTCATATTGTTTTGGATGTAGTTGAGGATCAAACTAGAAGATTGTGGTATAACTAATAGAAAAGGATAAGAAAAATATATCACTCGTTAAAGTTAAAAAGTTTTTTCTTAGATATTAAAAAACAGAGCAGAAGTTTGTACGGCCAACAATTGGATAATTCTTGACTTTGACTGTGTTTTTTTCCATTATAAAAATACATTTAAATTTTTGAATCATAATATCATGGCATTCTAAGATCCAGATTGGAATTTCAACACCTATGGTGCATATACAAAAATAAATATATGTAAGATAACTGGAGATTCAATGCAATATATTCCCAGCAAGCATAATGCAGAACAAGAGATTAGTCCATTTGCAAGAGCTTTTCTTTGTCATGCATCCAACCCTGAGTAGTGGTGAAGACTACTACATTTACATTTGGAGCTCAGAAATAAATATTAAAGCCCCGTTTGATTCCTATTTTTCGAAGAATGAGAATGAAAAATATAGTCGTCATGGAACCCACACAAAAGATTGAAAATCAAAATATGATAGCTTGTTGTGATGGATAACGGTCATATTTTTCATTTTTGCAGCCAAAGAATGGGAATAAGACGGAGACTAAATAAATTAATGGCGTTTAATAATAAGTATTACAAGATCAAATTTAAAAATTTAATACCATTATTTTTTATCAATTTGCAAAAATAAAAATAAAAAAATTTAAAATATTAAATTATTAAAAAAATAAAAATTTCCTATTAAATATTAGCACAAGTATTTTAGTTATACAAGTTTGTATTGTTATATAAAATATACAAATTAATTAAGAATGAGATTAAACTTATGACTAAGTTGAAATAATGGTAAACATATCATCAACTTGTGATCCTACCCCCAACTTAATTGTTCCTCCAAATCATAAAACACCTTCTCTTCTTCTTTACCATTTCTTGAAACACAAAGATAATTCTAAACATCACTGTGAAATTTCTTAACTAGCGAACAATAAAGTAAGATAAATGACAAGGGCAGCATTGTCACCATAAAGCAGCAACTGATCTTAGTATAAACTATATTTAGAGCCAATGCAATGCCTTCGGTGTTAAATTTGACTATCCAAGCTCTGAGATAAGAAGGAAGATTAACAGCCAGGGCACATGGGTAAGCAAACCAAAAGGTTCTACCTAGCTAATGTGCACTTGTGGACAGGAGTTATAAAGTACAATACTACCGTTGGACGAGAAAAGCATTGCATATCGCACTCTTGAATAATTTGGATTAAGCAATTAATCTATTTGCTATATTATATTGATTTTCCATATGGTGGAACTGAAGCCACAAAATTTTAGAAAAGAAGTCACAGGATATGTTACTTAGCATTCTACATGCCAACAGGGCTTTGTAGCCCATGTTAAATCACTGCCTCTTCTTCAATATCAAGCCTATGAAAATTTAATTATTAGAGATGCTATTACGGTGTACCAGGTGGGGAAGGGAAATACAGAAATCAATACTTTCTTAGCCCCTAATTGTAACTGGCAGAACACAGTAGACTGTAGCAGTGATCCTCAAATCACCATCACAATTATGAAAAGTGTATTCTTTGAACCCAAAATTACATTTTGTATTGGTCTGATTAGTTTCCCTATTGATTCTGATCTGCTTACACCTCTAAATCAACTGCCAAGGCCAAATCCAAAATCGATTATTGGCTCCAGTTTCAAACATCTCGATCACATTCTAACTTTAATGAGAATTTCTCCACCGTTCATTCGAGACAAACTAGTACCCGATTAAGATTTGATATACTTGGAACAGAATTCACTGTACTATTAATCCAATTTCACTGAAAATTGAGCTCTTTTCACACTTTATTTTCCTGCTATGACAATTTACTTCACGTCCTCATCTGATGAGAAAAGATTTTCGCATTTCTCCCATCAAAATTCATAAAAGTGAACCACTCCAATTCAGATTATATATCTACATCCAGTATACAAAGCAATATCATCACACACGGAGGCATAAAAAGACGGTCAAACAATACATGAACTCAAACCAGATTTCAAATAACAATAAAAGAGAAACCACGGTATTAATAAAATACCAGCTTTGACAAGAGCGTCCCATAACTCCTCTGGCAAGATGCACCCATTGTGCTCAACATCAATAGCCTGGAAAATCCTGTACAATTCTAGCTCCTTATCATCCATATATTTCCTGAACTCCTGATAATCCACCCTCCCATCCTGATTTTTATCACAAACATTCAGTAATTCCTTGGCATACTTGTAATCCTCCGGGATTTGCATTGCGGAAAGACCCTTCTCAATTTGGGCAGAATCCAAGTAGCCCACATTATTCGAGTCGAAAAAACTGAATAGACTTCTAATTCTCGAATCTCTCTCTTCTTTCGTCTCTCCCAAGGCCGATAAAACGTGGTCTAGCGATACTGGACCCGGTTTTTTCACCGGGTTGCAGCCTCCGGACCGGGCTTTTTTCTCATTTTCTGTGTCTGCGGACGCCATTGCTGGAATATTCACATGCCCCTCTAATTGCCAGAGGGTTATCTTTATATTGAATTTGAATTTAGGGATCTATAGAGAAAACGGGTCGTATGCATAGAAAGTTTTCGCATTTCTACCATCAAAATTCATAAAAGTGAACCACTCCAATTCAGATTATATATCTACATCCAGTATACAAAGCAATATCATCACACACGGAGGCATAAAAAGACGGTCAAACAATACATGAACTCAAACCAGATTTCAAATAACAATAAAAGAGAAACCACGGTATTAATAAAATACCAGCTTTGACAAGAGCGTCCCATAACTCCTCTGGCAAGATGCACCCATTGTGCTCAACATCAATAGCCTGGAAAATCCTGTACAATTCTAGCTCCTTATCATCCATATATTTCCTGAACTCCTGATAATCCACCCTCCCATCCTGATTTTTATCACAAACATTCAGTAATTCCTTGGCATACTTGTAATCCTCCGGGATTTGCATTGCGGAAAGACCCTTCTCAATTTGGGCAGAATCCAAGTAGCCCACATTATTCGAGTCGAAAAAACTGAATAGACTTCTAATTCTCGAATCTCTCTCTTCTTTCGTCTCTCCCAAGGCCGATAAAACGTGGTCTAGCGATACTGGACCCGGTTTTTTCACCGGGTTGCAGCCTCCGGACCGGGCTTTTTTCTCATTTTCTGTGTCTGCGGACGCCATTGCTGGAATATTCACATGCCACTCTAATTGCCAGAGGGTTATCTTTATATTGAATTTGAATTTAGGGATCTATAGAGAAAACGGGTCGTATGCATAGAAAGTCGAAAATGGGGGTATTGGAGTGGGGAAGAAAGTAGGGGAAGAGGATATTTGTATGCAGAATATCCCAGGAAATGAGCCGGACTGTTGATTTGGAGCTTCTTTTTCTTGTCGGGTCATAAACGGGGATTCGTTGGCTGAGCCGAAACACACGATGGCGTTGTTATTACGGCTCCTTACTCCGTTTGATATTTATAATTTTTTTTATTTGCCATTGTCGGGCCTTAGCTCTCGTTTGATTCTCATTTTTTGACCACAAAAATGAAAAATATAATCGTTATCCATCATATCCTTGTTTGAGCTCCATTTTAATGGAAAGAATGCATTTTTAAATAGTGATTGATGAAGAATGTGTGGTTAAAAATTAAGGAAACATTTTGAGTTTGCGGGTAATATTATTTTATTAAAAAATATATAGTTGAAAATGAATTTTGAGAAAATGAATTTTGAGAAGAATGGAGCACAAATAAGGGCTATATTTGACTTTTTATCTTTTATATGGATCCTATAACGATTATATTTTTTATTTTCATTCTTACAAAAATGGGAATCAAACAGGCCTTAACATGGAATTATTCAATCATTAATTGGAAAATTTTGCTTTTAAATTAAGTTCAAGATATATATCATTATTTATCTTAACTCGTTAACAAAACATTATCATTTGAGCCCCCTTCAAGAAATGAAAACTTTGAAAAATAAACTCAATCAAATATGGGCGCCCATTTGACCCTCATTATTTCACATTATAACGAGAATAATAGTAAATTTTTTTAGAATGTTTAGTTAAAAAGGAATAAAAAGTTTTTGGATTACATGTAATATTATTTGATTGAAAAATATATGATTGATAAGAAGAGAATGAAAAATAAATTATAATTTAATGGGGGCATAACGTTTTTAAAATTTACGGTTTTTATTTTAAGACAATTTGACATGTGATTCATGTGAAACTATCGTTTAAAGTTTAAATTTTAAAAATAATGAAACTTGTGTTTTATAGCATTACTCGTATTTTAGTTGCCCGTTTGACCACATGAATAGATTCCTAATGTATAAGTTAAAATATTATTATGCTTTGAATTGCTTACCTTTTGTATGTTTTCGAATTTTTCTTAATGGTCAACAGACTTGAATAACTATCCTTGAGCATAAAAATGTTTAATATGGTAACTTGTTACTACTCAGTCTATCTGTGCTCTCATTTTCATAGTTGACAAAATAATAAATGTTCAGTAAGTTTTCTTAAAATGACTCGATATTAGTAGTCTGCTGGTCTTTTTCTTGAAGCAACATAAATTGTGGTTTTGTATTTTATTTTATTTTTTATTTGCTTGTTGATTTTGTCAAATGTTCTAGATTGTTTACCTAGGTTGGTCTTTACTCGCTTGCATTGGTGTCTTCTCATTAATGTGATGTAATGTGCTTTGGCTTATTGTTGCTTTTTTATTTTAACTAGTATGGCTGCTATTTTTTGAGCACTTGAAATATTTAACAGATCCGAAGACATGATGGATTGGTGAATTGATGGTCAAATTTAATTCTAATGTTACATCAAATATTATTTAGAAGTCGAATGATCATCCATTTGTGTGGTAGGAGCCTAGGAGGAGGTGGTGATGTGACGTAAGCCACAAAATTGTCCCGAATGATGCCTGTGTGCATTTGGACCGGTGTGGCTTGTCAATAAATTTTATTCGATGTCTCCTTCATATCCAACTTCTATTAAAAAGGTGAATGTAATGCAACTGTAGATACAACAGTAAAGCAATCTCATTTTACTGTTCACGCTATTTTTTCCTCTTTTTTTTTTTATTAATTCTTTGCTTCTATTCATACTCGCTACGACGTCGACAACCATGCTAACCGTACTCCCACGACCATACTCCTTATTTTCCTTTTTATTGATATCTTCATTTCTAATTTTTTTTCTCGTTTTGGTGAATTCTGTTTTTGTTGGACCACATTCCAGATATTCTCATTTCATCTTCGAAGGTTTCAACGTTGATTCTCTTCTTTTTTATTTTTTTCCTTTTTAGCTTACTGTCGACATAGGAAGACAACAACGTTGGATATCTACATCTACAGAGGTTGATTTTCTTCAATGCATATTTGATGGAGGAAATAAAAGTCCAAATAATGCAGAAATTCTACATATAGTCTCCACCTTATCACAACATAATCCTGTTATTTCTGGAAAAAATATTGATGATTGATTTAAGAATAAGCAAGCTTGTGAAAAAAAAAGAGAAAGCAGATATGCATTAAGAATCCTCAACTGAAAAATTTGATGCATGAAGTGCAACCTCATTCTGATTGACGTTTAAGGACCTTCAGTTTAACAAGTTGATATTTAGTAGTGTTTATGCTCTTTTTTGTGCTTGTATTTGTTTTGATCAGATTTTGTCCAAAAAATAAAAAATCAGGTGGCACGGAGAGATGGCACATGAGTTCAGAACTCTCTGCATACTTCGGAGAAATCAACTATACTAATTTTTTTCTTAGCAGTTTGAACAAGCTAAATTTGTAGTTATTTTTTTTATACAATAATTATGTTTAGTTTATCTGTAGTTTTTAGTTTGTCAATCTTTGTTGTGTTTTTATTTGTCTATTGGCTGCTTTCTTCAGAAAAAAATCGAAAACTCTGCATTGTGTGGAGAGTGTGCGAAGAGTGCGGGGGGAAGAGTGATCGCTCCGCACAATTTGGAGAGATGAATTGATCTCTGCGAACTGTTCGGATATTTTTTTTATTTTTTAATTTTTTTATAGCGGTCTTTTTTTTATATAATATAGTTTATTTAAATGAAATGCTTTTTTCGTTACAATTTCTTTTTTTTTCAATTTTTTTTCTTTTCATGATGCTAATCAACATTTTGAATAAGGCGAATAAGTGTGAGTGTTGAATATGCAGAAAAAATTGGTAAATAAAATATTTATGTTTTGCCATCTTCTAAAATTTGTGTTCATTCTCCTGCTATAAAATTCTATAAAGAAAGCATAAATTTTTAGTATGATTTGTTTACTTCTACATCTTTTTAAAAAAGTTGTTTTTCTATAGTTTTTAGTTTATCATCTTGTTGTGCTTGTATTGTTGTATTTGTTTATTGGCTGTGTTTTTTTTACAGGAAAAAATTCCGAAAACTCATCCGCACTCCACACAGTTCGCAGAGATCAATTGATCTCTGCGAACTCTTCGGAGATTTTTTTTATAGCTTTTGTTTGGTCATTTTTTATATATAATTATGTTTAGTTTATTTATATGGAATGCTTTTTTCTTTACAATTTCTTTTTTTTTCAAATTTTTTTTTTCTTTTTCTTGTAGGTAATGATGCTAATCAACGTTTTGAATTAGGGAAATCATGGGACGTGAGCGTAAGTGTTGAATATGCAGAAAAAATTGGTAAAGGGAATATTTCTCGTCAACCTTATGTTTTGCCATCTTCTAAAATTTATGGTCATTGTGGTGCTACAAAATTCTACAGAGAAAGCAAAGGCTTTTGTTGTTGTGATGAAAATGTCAAATTACAGTTACATGATATACCTCCTGAAATGTATGATTTATTTACTTCCACATCTAAAGAGACTGTAGCTTTTAAAAAGGTTGTTCGTAATTATAACAATCATTTTGCGTTTACTTCGTTTAGTGTTAAGTATATGAAAGAATTGTGTAAGAATAATAAAGCTATATATACTTTCAGAGTTCAAGGACAAGTATACCATTTCATAAACTCACTTGTGCTTAAGAATGATAATCCAACGTATTTACAGTTATACTTCTATGATACTGAAAATGAAACTTGTAATTGATTGAATACTTCTGACAAATTTTGTGAGTTTACTTTAAGAAAACTTATAGATGTTTTATTCCAAGTTTTTCAGATCATTAAGTGAAGTTAATCATTTAGAATCATGTTGTATTTTACTAAAGTCTAATCCTGGTGTTGATCAAAGAATATATAACTCGCCAACATTAGAACAAGTGGTTGTAGTTTGGGTTAACGATGACCCATCTACAAATACTAGATGTCGGGATTTATTAATTTATGGACACTCAGGTAATGCATATAAAGTCTAATACTATCATGATTGTTATGATCCTCTCCAATATCCACTACTTTTCCCGTATGGAGAACCTGGATGGCATGAAGATATTGAAAAGGTGAATGTAAGTGTTTCACAAGCTTTGATTTGTCAGAATTTAATAGAATTTAATCATGTCCATTTTGCGGATCAATTATTGGAAGTAGAAGACTATGGTAAACGATTTTAGTAATTTTTATTTTTTAAACTAATTTATTTATGTTATTAATTGCATTTAGTGAATGAAGTTTTTGTTGATAAATTCTTTTGTTTCTTGCAGTTTTGAAGGTAAAGAAAAAACGAATAACTGTATCATGTCGGGAATATTATTGTTACAAGCTTCAAATGAGGTGTGTAAATAATTGTATTCTTTTACATGCTAGCAGACTTTTACAACAATATGTTGTGGATATGTATGTGAAAATTGAAACAGCAAGATTAGACTACTTTCATAATAACCAAAAAGTTATAAGAGCTGAACTATACGAGAGAATTGTAGATAGTGTACAAAATGGTGAGAATACAGGTTATAAAATTGGTAGATCTTTAGTGTTACCTTCTGATTTTGTTGGAAGTCCTAGGAACATGACTAAAAGATATATGGATGCAATGTCTATTATTCAGAGATATGGTAAACCTGATGTGTTTTTGACAATGACATATAATCCAAATTGGCTTGAAATAAAATGTGAATTGAAAGAGAGTGATGAAATACAGAATAGGCCAGATTTGTTCGTACGAATATTTCGTGCCAAGTTTGAGGAACTGAAGGCAGATTTGGTTAAGAGAAAATTGTTGGATCCTATTGCTGCATATGCTTATGTGATTGAATTCCAGAAAAGAGGATTACCTCATACTCATTTTCTCCTTATATTTTAAACGAAATTCTAATATCCGAAACTCTGTACAAGTCGATGAAATTGTCTCATCAGAATTATCGGACCAAAAAAATACCCTTACCTGCATGCTACTGTTGTAAAACATATGATGCATGGTCCTTGTGGGAATTTGAATCCTAAGAACGTTTGTATGGAAAAGAATTTTGTGTATAAAAATAAATATATGAGAGATTACGTTGAAAATACTTCTTTGGATAATGATTCCTACCCACTTTACAAGCGTGGCAATGATGGTGTAAGTATTAAAGTAAGAGGGTGTATGTTGGATAATAGATGGGTTGTACCGTATAATCCTTACTTATTAGCTAAATATGATTGTCACATTAATGTGGAGGTATGTTCGTCTGTTAAAGATGTTAAATATCTATACAAGTATGTATATAAGGGACATGACCGCATTCATTTTACTTTAAATAAAGAAACAAACGAACAATTCGTTGATGAGATTTCAAACTATCAAACAGCTAGATGGATATCTCCACCTGAAACTATGTGGAGGATATTTAGTTTTGATTTATACGATATATCTCCTACACTAATCTATTTACAGTTACATACTAAAGATGCTCAAATGGTTACATACAAGGAGACAGATGATTTATCAAAAGTTATAAATAAAGATTTTGTTCACCGAACAATGTTAACAGAATTTTTTAGAATGAATATTTCAAATGAAAAGGCAAAAACTCTATTGTATAAAGAATTTCCAACCTATTTCGTATGGGATATATCCATGCAATTTTGGAGTCCCAGAAAAAGCAAAGATGTTATTGGTAGAATAGTCGGTGCTAATCCATGTGAAGGTAAGAAGTATTTTTTAAGAGTTTTGCTAAATCATATTAGAGGGCCAAAATCTTTTGAAAATTTAAAAATAGTCAATGGTATTGTTTTATCTATTTATTGTGAAGCAGCGCTTTCCCATGGTCTTCTTAGTGAAAATAGCTATTCTGAGATGTATTTATCTGAGGCAGTTGCTTACCAAATGCCCATATCACTGAGGCGACTATTTGCCAATGTATTGAGTTTATCCTGCCCTACAAATTCAAGGAATTTATAGGATAAATTTAAGGATTTCACGATAGAAAATTATTTACATAAAGGTTTGACACAACAAAGTGCTAAGATGAAAGCTTTACACTGTATAAATTCTTTTTTAGAAGGTGTTGGTAAGAATATAATTGATTTTTGCTTGGTAGATTTTAATTTAACTATGAATGATGATGATATCTTTGAAACCATGATTGCCGAAGAAACAACAAATATTAGTTTTCAGTCAGACATACATTATAGTAAGAGTTTAAATAAAGAGCAACAAAATGCCTATGATATTATTTTGGATTGTGTTTTAAATAATAAGAATGAAATGTTTTTTATTGATGGTTCAGGAGGCACTGAAAAAACATATTTGTACAAGACATTATTTTTTGATGTACGATCTCGAAATCTTATCGCACTAGCAACGATATCATCAGGTGTAGCTGCATCTCAATTACCGGCTGGTAGAACAGGACATTCAAGATTCAAATTTCCGCTTTAAGTAAGTTATGATATGCGATGTTCGGTGAGTAAACAGTCTGCGCTTGGTAAACTTTTAGCATTACCTAGGCTAATAATCTGGGATGAAACACCAATGGTTCATAAATATGCTTTTGAAACTTTAGATAAAATGTTAAGAGACATTACTAAATATCAATTACCATTTGGTGGAAAAGTCATTGTGTGTGAAGGAGATTTTCGACAAGTTTTACAGTAGTACAAAGAGGAACAAAAAACGATATAATGAAGGCAAGTTTAGTTTTTTTCGCATTTATGACGTTTTTTTACACAGCTAGCATTAATCGAAAATATGAAAGCTAAATTAGATCCTTCATTCTGTGAATATTTGCTAAAGATTGGGAATGGAATAGAGAAAACACATTCATGCCAAATGATTACACTTCCTGAAGATATTACCATCAATTTTGAAGATGAATTTAAATAATTGAAGGAATTAATTGACATTGTGTTTCCCAATTTCCGGACATATGGAGACAACCTACATATTATGATGAATAGAATTATCTTAACCCCAAAAAATGAATATGTAGATTTAATAAACAATACGTTGCTTAAAGAAATTTCGGGAGAGAAAGTTACATATTTTAGTTTGGATGAAGTGATTGATAAAAGTTAAGGATTTATTGATGAAGATTTTTTAAATAGTGTAGCTCCAAACGGTATACCTCTACATGAACTCATATTGAAAAAAAATTGTCCAATTATGTTGCTCAAAAATATTAATCTTGTAGAAGGTTTATGCAATGAGACTAGATTTATTTGTCGTGACTTTAAGCAGAATGTTGTCTTGGCTGAAATTGGGAAGGAGAATATCGTGGAAAATAAGTATTTTTACCTAGAATTCCATTCATTCCTCTTGAAGGTGATAAACAGTCTGTACCATTTAAAAGAACTCAGTTTTCAATTCGTCCATGTTTTGCAATGACCATTAACAAATCTTAAGGTCAAACTATAAATTTTGTTGGCTTATATCTTTCAGAACCTGTATTTTTCCATGGCCAATTATATGTTGCATTGTCTTGAGCTAGAATAAGAGAAAATATAAAAGTTCTGATCAAACCTTTTGTAAAAAATAAATCACATACTTGTTGTACCAAAAATATTGTCTATCATGAAATCTTGAATTTAGTTCACAGTAAACATTAGAATCTTTAGCTGATGAAGATTTCTAAGGTATATTCTTAATTATTTGTTATAATTTTTTATTGATTATATTTGTTATTACAAACACAAAATTAATAATAAATATGGGCTTTTGACTTCTGATTTGTAAGTGTTATGCCCTAAATCCAATCAACCTTGGACATAAATACTTTTGATATATAATTAATGTAATTTAATGGCATATCTATTATTTAATTAATAGACAAATAAATAAATAATAGAGTCCGTAGATTCAAATTTTCGTAATTTGTTAATCACAAGGAGTTGTGATTGTGAAATACAAATTATATATGATTGAATCTTAAATCATCCGTAATCGTAAGTAATAACGAGATACGGATATTGTTATTATGGATAGATCATCACGTGTGGCATTTCTTACTTGTGAAATAAGTAACTGATCTCACAAACTAAAGTGTGATGACACTTAAATGAACACGTGGATGTTTTGTTATAGACCAAAACATTGGAGACCCATTGAGAGATTCCACATGGATAACTATCTGAGTGTCAGTGGTTAATCTCTAATGTTCGGTAGTGGGATTGGTCCTTTGATTTGAGGTCGTCATAGTATCTTATATGAGAATAGTCATACTTTGACGGTGTTGGATGTTGCTCTGCTAAGGGCCGCTAATACGGCATTGTTCGGGTTTGTCAAGAATCGTATGAAGGTTGTGAATAACCAATAGAGGATTCGTCACTCTTAGATAGTAGGAGATTATGATCCGCGTTTCATTCAATTAAGTCGATAACGAAATCCTTAGCCAAAGTGTACTCATAAGTAGAAAAAGAGTTTTCGACTTATATTGACTTAATAGTGGAGTGAAAGATATGATCGATATTTGAGATTGACACACTTTCATATCTCGAAATTGATCGGATCATATTGACGAAGGGATTATAGTTTCACAGTAAACGAACGAGTGTGTGTGTGTGTGACCATATATGTATTAATATATAGGAGAATGTTATATTTTAGTTAGAAACATTGTAGTATTTTTGAATTGTAAAGAAAGGAAAAAGTGTAATTTCTATGAAAATCTTTATGCCATAATTTAAGATAATTAACGAAAAAGTGAAATGGATAAACATAAATATTAAACATTATTGGTGTGAAAAGTTTCATAGACGAGTTAGAGTTCCATCGTTGTGGTTTTTTTGTAAACCATGAACATTGGAGATTCGCTATTTAATAATTCAAATACGCATGTATCTCCGATTTGTAGTTCCTTCTCTGTCAAAAAATTGGCCCAACCTACAGTAAGACGACGCATCACTTGGTCTTGAATTTGCAGTGATATCCTAGTTGTAATGTACAGAGTCATGGAGCTGAACATTCCGCACATATCTTAGTAGTTGGTGTCTTGCAAACCTTCCTGGTATAGACTTCGAAAAAATATGGATGCTGTTGTTAAGATTAAAATAATGTGAAAAAGGTAAATATAGAATGATAAATTAAAAATAATCTACAATTTCTCGATGGTTGTTCTGATTGAGCGTCAGTGTTACTTCGAATTCAGGATTATCCAGATGTAAAGCCTTGTCTTCTTCAACATCAGAGCCATATGTAACATCTGATATAGAATGATCAAATATCCTCATATTGAACGTTGAATTTTCATTATATTCAAATACTACAACAAAACCATCCTATAAATTATGATGGTCAAAAAATTGCTCCCATCCATTAGTCAAATATATTTCTCCGTCGATTGTTTGTAACTGTATTGTTACAATTATACCATCATACGAAGTTAATCGTACTCTATCACCTAATTCGTGTCTCCAGCAATTGATAAAAGATGTAGGAAGCATCTACATATATGAAAAAAAATATAGGTAGTAAATAAAACATCCATACAAATATGAAATAAAAGAAGATATTATTATATAACTTATCAAACGGATGTTATGATTTAGTGAAATATTGATAATTTTGAAGAAGCTATGTGACATATCCATTTTTGTGTTGATAAACTGCAGTATGTATGATTTTTAACACAAATAAAGATTGAAAATTATATATAATTTAAAAATACGAATTTATTTTGAAACAATTGTAGTAAAAGAAATACTAGATTAAACCTGATTTTTTTTAGGAAAGCTTGGTAGGTAAAGGTAAAAATATGTAAATTGGTTAAGTATGAAGAAATGGTATGAGAAAGTATGAAGAAATGGTATGAGAAGCTATTTAAACTAAACAATACTTGTCCTTTTTTGAGAGAAGATTTGACAACAACTTTACGGGTAGGAATATAGAAATAAACAAAGTAAGAAATGGACAAAATACTTAAGACAAAACACTCTTCCCAGAATTATTTTTTAGATACGTCCACTAGATTTGCTAGATTTGGTGAAAAATTTATTTTATTACTAAGATGTAAAGTGCTAAATCTTGGATTGAAATAAAAAAAATGACTAATGAGATTAAGAAGAAATAAAAGTATAATTTTATGTAATTAACAAAAAAATAGTTTAGTTATACAATAAAACTGTCCAATTGGTTTGATATGGTCTAATATGGCAATCAATTGTTTGTTTACTGACAAAGTAAACAATTAATAATTAATAATTTAAATCGTAAAAAAAAGGCAAATGCTTCGCACAGTGCAGAGCGCTAGCTAGAATGCTCCACACTGTGCGGAGCAACTTTGTTATGGTTAAGTGTGGAAGAACTTTGCTATGATTAAGACTGCAAAAAAAAAAAAAAAACAATTGGCTGATATGTCATTCAAATTATCTGATTACTTAATAAAACAATTATTAAACAATTAAAAATTAATAATTTAGTAAATAAAAATTTATATCAAAACAAAAGGGAAAAAAAAGAGGGAAATACTCTGCACAGTGTGAAGCACTTTTTGGAGTTGCTCCGCACTGTGCAGAGCATAGTGCTCTGCACAGGTGCGCGGAGCCACTCCGTATTGTGTGGAGCAGTGCGAAACAACTTCTCTGCCTTATGCAGAGCAAATTTTTTTCATTTTCTTTTAGATTTTTTTTCCTTTTGTTTTTTTTTTGGATTGAAATTATTATTTATTATTAATTGTTTATGTCATGAGCTACTTGCCATACCTCTACCTCTGAATTTTTGCAATCCACTGGTGATAATATATAACTTGTCATACTTTACTGATTTTGTCTATTTTTTTTTTAACTTTAAATCATTTCATTTCTCTTGCACACAAGAGTGATTTTTTTTTTCTTTTTTAATGCTCCAAATAGTGCGGAGCAATTTCGGCAAATCCTCCATACTGTTGCATAGCAAATTTTTTTTCCCTTTTCTTTTGGACATTTTTTTCCCTTTTTTTATTGAAATTATTGTTTACTAAATAATTATTTATTATTAATTGTTTACTGTCGTGGGTTGCTTGCCTTACCTTCACCATATTGGTATACATATCTTTTTTGCTATCCCATACCTTACAGATTTTACCATACCAAACTAATCAATTCCCATACATTACTCTGTATTTATATACTTACACATTTCATCATACACAGACTAATCAATTCCCATACATTATACTCTAAAATGTACTTTTATATAATATACTTGATAAAAATTTAGGTTAATCAATCAACTGATTTACTTGGCCATACTTCACCGATTTTATCTAATTTTTTTTAAAACTTTGACAAATTATACTATATCTATTTAAACCATTTCATTTCCCTTCTGAGATTACCATCTTCATAAATCTTCATCATAAATCTTCTGCTCTACTCCGACTGCATTTGACATATTATTTTATTTTAGATTTAGATAAAATGGAAGAAGAATACAAACTTATACCAGAAATTGTCTCAAACAACGAGAAGTGGAAAGTCAAGATCTTTGTTATCGAAAACAATCACCAAAACATTCTAAACAAGGCAATGGAAAATATTAACATCTAGTGTTGATGGATACTCAGGTAACTCTTCTTATTGTTAGTTATAAAAGTTGGCTTCAACTTCAAAACTAAAACTATTAAGACTTCTCATTCATATATAATCAGATAACTAAGAAATCTTTCATCGTTTTTCATTTTCATTTTCTAGGGAAATACTATCCAAGCTACCTTATATGATTCAAATATCAGTGCTTTTGAAGATCAACTTGTTTTGGGGAAAACATATGTCATTTCAAAAGCTTATATAAAGAATAATACGAGAAACTACAAATATTCGATAGGATCTTATCACTGGACTATATTTGGACAAACTCGTCTTGTTGAACTAAATGAAGATAATGTCGAATTTGTTTTTTCAACATATCAG